TTCTTCCTCATGATAACTAGAGTTGTCATGCGCGTTGCAGCTATCGCCTCCTATCGGCGCTATCGATGGTCGCGTTTCGTGCTCGATAGCTTTGCCCCACCTCTGGTTTTTGAGTATCGCAACTTTTACTGCTAGTTGTTTTGTATCTTATTTCATATATTTGGGCATTTAAATTCTGAAAATTTAACTTATGGTTTGATCTTACAAATCAGGATCACACCAAATATGGTGTCATTACTTTAAAAATTTGTATTTTTTATGTTTATTATTATTATATTTTTATTTTATGAAAACTTGTACAATAAATATTTCTCGGAAGTGCTTTAAATTAATGAAAAATAAAAAAGGAGGTAATGCATGAGCCACCCAATGTTTCATCACTAACACAAATTTCGATACACCAATTGGATACAAAGGCAGAAAACGGTCACACTAAAAATAAAATGGTAACTATCTGATGTTCCAAAATAATAATAAATAATAAAACTGAATGCTTTCAGGCCGATGTGGATGTATTTATAAGTAATTACACAATCGTCGATCCAGAAATTTATCAGCTATGGATCGAAGGCTTCTCCTGTAAGTTTTGTTCTCCAGACTGTCACCTTGTTTCATATAAAATGACTCCTTCGATTTCCAATTCCAGCCAGCGAGGCGGTGTCATATTTAAAACAGAAGGGTTTTGGCCACTCCATGGGCGCCCCCAGCGACCTGATTGCATCGGATGTCCTGGATCATTACCGCACCTATTCACTGATTGAACTCTACTTAAACGCACCCACCAAGCTGATGGAGCAATCCTGCTTCCAGCTGGAGCCACATATGCGTGACCTTATCACCGAGAAGTACTATTCCATTGACGATGTGGTGGCTCGTGAAATTCTTGGCAAGAAGCTGTCGTCACGCTACCGCAAGGACCTCGACGAGGTGGCCGAGAAGACGTGCGTCAAGCTAAAATCGGTTCGGTGAGTAGATTTAATTCCATGAGAGAGAATAATATACATATGTATTTTATAACCCTTCATCAGCCGACAATTTGACAATGTAAAACGTATTTTCAAAGCAGTGGAGGAAATGCCGGGCACGTTGACAAACAATATTAAACAACATTTCTTCATATCCACCGATCTGGCTAAGTAGGAAAAGGGCGAATGTAACGTTCTCCAAAATGCAAATCTTTTCGCTTTTACAGAAAGTATGCCTGCATTGTTTTCCTGGCCTGTCTGCGTTTTGAAACCACCAAAAAGAAGTTGCAATACCTGACCTTCAGTGATTTGTTGACCTGCTCCCATGCCATCATGATCTACTGGACGTACACTTACCAGGTATGGCTTAGATCTCCATATTCCTGGCAACACTAATTTACTAAGTGCAGCACACTGGACCGGAGTACTATGACACCGAAATGGACAAAGAATTTCTCTTGGATTTGCGGGAATTGCGCTGTCTGCTCGATAAGGAAAAAGAGATTAAGCAGTGAGATTTATTTCTACTACCAAAGAGCGATTATATAGTTCAGTCCTTGCATTTAGCCTCGTCTGCATGCGCCTAAAACCAGTTCTTCTCGAGCGTGCCTTTCACGAACTGGATGGAAACTTTCGGTAAGGATTTATTTCTCGATAATCTTAGCATTTCATTGACCAGCCCAATTTGATTTGCAGTTCTTATTGGCGGGCCCTGATCACAATCGCCTGCAATTTGCATCGCAATCGGGAGCTACGCGATCTTTTCGTCGATCTCTGTGAGAAGCTTATTGACCCTTGGCGTCAGAATGGCTGGAACCGGGAGCAAGTGAACAAATTTTTGTCTTCCATAACGCAAAGCGTTTTGGATCTGGAAATATCTAGGTGAGATCTTGTTTAGTTGAAATAAGTATCTTCTTTGATTACCAACTCCATATGCTTTACAGGGATCAGGAAACTAGATGTCTTTGGGATCGCTATATGCAGGTCATAACAATATGCTTGGATAAAATGTATCACATTTAAGCTGTGATTAAATTAAGGAACAAATATAAATAGTATTTAATTGTTTGGTTGTTTGTTTCGACTTGTGTTGATGTTTACCCATAATATTAGATTGTATAAACTAAAACAAAAAAACGAAAATTGATTCTAAAGAGTTTCAAATTTGTATGTTAGTATACCGTTGCTAATTGGCGCCAAATAGTATATTTAAGGGAAGAGCATGTTTTTTTTGGTATTCTTTTGAAAGTGGCTGGTATATTTTCCAGCCACGTTCACACTAGAGCTTCGAAGCTGAAGATGCAGGAAAAGCTTCCAACAAATTGTTGGCCTGCACACACTTCCGTTTTAAATGTTCTTATTGGGACGTTGATGTTAGTAAACAAACAAAACAGAAGTCTTCGTCGGAAAGAGCTTAAGGCGATATAAGAAATCGTTACTGATTGGCAATGGATGCGCAGGAATTTTGGTGAGTTTCACTGGAAAAGTGCATTGCAAATTACACACATTACATAAAAACTAGCTGTCCGTGTGTGCGTTAAGCACCCACACGAATGCACATTCGCGAAAACCCGCACACACACACGCACACAAGCTGGCCAGGTGTGTGTGTGGGTGTGAAGGGAACAGAAGAGGAAGCAACAGTTGACGCCCGTTAGACGGGAAACCCGCCCACTGGTTGATTAAATATCGGGGTTGTTTTCTAATCCATTCTTGGTTGCTTTCGGTTTAGCGAAAATCTGGAGGAGATCGAAGATGACAACTACGACGAGGAGAAGTCGGCCAGAACCTCGGATGAAAATCGCAAGTACGGAAAACTTTTTCACAATTAACGTATTCCATATCCATTTATCCGACTTAAAGAACTTCGAATTTTTTCGAGATGTTGGTTCAAAAAGAACAAATGATTATTTGGATAAGTTAATTAGTCTTTATAATCAGATATCTGCATGCATACTCGTATGTATTTCAAATTTTACCATTATATCATATATCATTTAGGCAAAATCACAGCGAGATCGAGAAGCGGCGTCGAGACAAGATGAACACGTACATCAACGAGCTATCCTCCATGATTCCCATGTGCTTTGCGATGCAGCGGAAGCTGGACAAGCTGACAGTGCTCCGGATGGCGGTGCAGCATCTGCGAGGGATCCGTGGCAGCGGCAGTTTGCATCCATTCAACGGATCTGATTACCGGCCGAGTTTCTTGTCCGACCAAGAGCTCAAGATGATCATCCTGCAGGCCTCGGAGGGATTCCTTTTCGTGGTGGGTTGTGACCGAGGACGTATCCTGTACGTTTCCGATTCGGTGTCTAGTGTGCTGAACAGCACCCAAGCGGATCTGCTGGGTCAGAGCTGGTTCGACGTTCTGCATCCGAAGGACATTGGTAAGGTTAAGGAGCAGCTATCCTCATTGGAGCAGTGTCCCCGGGAAAGACTTATCGATGCGAAGAGTAAGTGGCCTGCGAATATGTGTGATTCAATATGTTACTATAGATTTACCCTTATTTTATCACCTGCAGCCATGTTACCCGTTAAGACCGACGTTCCACAAAGCTTGTGCCGCCTGTGTCCCGGAGCGCGGCGCTCCTTCTTCTGCCGCATGAAGCTGCGCACCGCCAACAACAACCAGATCAAGGAGGAGTCTGATACGTCCTCCAGCTCTAGAAGCTCCACGAAGCGCAAGTCCAGACTAAGTACGGGCCATAAGTACCGGGTTATCCAGTGCACGGGTTACCTTAAGTCCTGGACACCCATCAAGGACGAGGATCAGGACGGCGACAGTGACGAGCAGACAACGAATCTATCTTGCCTTGTGGCAATAGGTCGCATTCCCCCCAACGTCCGTAATTCTACAGTACCCGCTTCGCTGGACAATCACCCGAACATTCGGCATGTGCTCTTCATCTCGCGCCACTCCGGCGAAGGCAAATTCCTCTTCATCGACCAGCGGTAGGTCCCATAAAGGGCTTTAATTGTCCTGAAGATTCGACTAACATTGTTTTGCAGTGCCACACTCGTGATCGGCTTCCTGCCGCAGGAGATCCTTGGTACCAGCTTCTACGAGTACTTCCACAACGAAGACATCGCCGCGCTGATGGAGTCCCACAAGATGGTGATGCAGGTGCCGGAAAAGGTCACCACGCAGGTCTACCGCTTCCGGTGTAAGGACAACAGCTACATTCAGTTGCAGAGCGAGTGGCGGTCCTTCAAGAATCCCTGGACGAGCGAGATTGAATATATAATCGCAAAGAATTCCGTCTTCTTATAAGGCACACGAACGTTCCTATTGGGAACATTACTTTTATTTATTCTACTACAATCCAATATTTGTATACACTCCAAAGATCTTCATCCGCATCGAGTTGCTGGCGCCGGCGGTTGAAATTCCATATTCGATGTACAAACTCTACTTATTGATAAGCCCATCATTTTTGTACCGCATCAATTAAATTAACGGACAACTTAAAAAAGAGATTCGCCTAGATAAGAACATTGCTATCGTGGGAACAATCTAGTTTCAGCCAATCAAGGTCTCAACATTGCTTTCTGGCAATTGGAATTGTCGACTGGAGCGGTCGCCGTAAATTATAAACATCAAATAGTTCTTAGCCAAGCACGTTTTGGACGTGATCGGTGCTCGAATTTCTTCGGACACATAACTACTTATGGTAAATGGTGTGGATCATGTGTACATATGTACCGACATGTGTGTATTTGACTTATCAACTGAGACGGGCTTTTTCGCCCGTTTTTCGTTTCACTCGACTTTTTTTGCTTGCACTATCAATAGACCCACATGGAAAGGCGGCAGCACAGGCGCGTGGGTTTGTCTGGGTCTGGGTATGGTTATGGGTATGAGTATGCCTCTCTCGCTCGTTAGATTCGGATTCGGAATCAGTTGGCATAGAGCTGCCGCGGCGTACGAACGCTCTGACGCTTTGGCTCCCCTCAAGTAGCCGTTTAATTGGACAAAAGCCTTGCTTGCACTACGGTTTCGTTTTTCGGTGGTCATATAAAGAATATATTGAAATGAGTGCCCTCATATTTCTGTGCGCGATTCTAATTGGTTTCGTGATTTATTCACTCATCAGTTCGGTGCGGCGTCCCAAGAACTTTCCCCCAGGTGAGGTGTTCCTGTCCTACACTTGGGATTATGTGCAAGCTATAGCTTTTCCTGGAAACCCAAATGAAGATAAGAAGTTTCTACTGTGCTCAAGGAAACGATAGACTTCTTACAAAATTCGTAGAATAACTTAACCAATTTTATTTATCGTGGTTTGCAGTTTGCCTTTCAAAACTATCCAGTTATTTATAATATTAGAGAAATAATTGAGACATTCTCTTGACCACATTATTTTCTCCTTAATAACCATATTGTTATGAAATATAAATATTTGTATTTGAACTCTAGGTAGGCTCGACAGGCACACATACGACCTGCCCCACGACCAAATGGTCAGCTCATTAGCAACTCGTAATGGTGAGGTGATCGGAGGCATAGGTGGCAAGTCGGTGGGGAACCAGACGACACACGTTTTGAATGCTAATATACATATCTTATTGATAAAATCGTCACATATTCCTGACACCTGGCCTAACTGGTCTGAATTAGCCAGTAACAAGGGCCAGGCTGATTTATTCCACTTACCAATGCAGCTCTGGATTTGCATTAGGATTTCGAATATGGGCGTAATAGCTGTCATTCCTGTATATAGGCAGACTTTTATTAATTGCAATTCCGACATTTTTGCAATTCAAAATGGGGATAAATTAATTTGCCATCTCTAAGGGAATTTTCTTCACCTAAAGAAAAGCGGTCTCAATTTGACCATTTAAGACCTACGAACTTATAAAAGTTATGAAATTGATTTTGATTACGTATTTATAGTTAATAACTAAGTGGTTTGATTTCAAGATAGAGTTTTCACTTTCGTTTCGGTAGTTTGCTAACTAACAGATTTCTTTTGCAGCCGATTAGATTAGTAATTTGATACCTACCTAAGTCGATTTGATTGAATTGGCGGTCTTATTCCGTGTGAAACTCTCTTACTCAGAATCAAAATATTTAAAACTATATTTATCAATTTCATTATTAAAACAGGTCCTCGATTTGTGCCATGGCTAGGAAACACATTACAGGTAAGGGACACCAAAGTAACCAATATTATTAGAATAACCAATTGAACAAATCAAAAAGTCTCGTTTTGACTAAAACCGCAGACTTAATTATCTAGTGCTTTCAATGAACATCAATATCTAAAATCCTATGTACCCATTCTCAAAATCATGAAGTATATGATTGCTCTTTCATTCCAATATTATGTTGACAGTTCCGCAAGGAAGCTAGTGCTGTGGGCGGCCAGCATATCCTGTTCGAACGCTGGGCAAATGACTTCCGGAGTGACCTAGTGGGTCTGAAGCTGGGCCGCGAATACGTGGTGGTTGCTCTTGGCCACGAGATGGTGAAGGAAGTGCAGCTGCAGGAGGTGTTCGAGGGGCGACCGGATAACTTTTTTCTGCGTCTGCGAACCATGGGAACCAGGAAGGGAATCACCTGTACGGACGGACAGCTTTGGTACGAGCATCGCCACTTTGCCATGAAGCAGATGCGCAACGTGGGCTACGGGCGCAGCCAGATGGAGCATCACATAGAACTGGAGGCGGAGGAGTTGCTTGGACAACTGGAACGCACCGAGGAGCAACCGATCGAGCCGGTCACTTGGCTGGCGCAGACCGTACTCAATGTACTGTGGTGTCTGATTGCTGGAAAGAGAATTGCCAGTCAGGAGGATGGGACCCTGCAGCGGCTACTCGACCTGATGAATCGACGTTCCAAACTCTTTGACATCTGCGGTGGTCTGCTGGCCCAGTTTCCCTGGCTGCGCCACGTGGCCCCCGATCGCACTGGCTACAATCTTATTCAGCAACTGAACACGGAGCTGTACGGCTTTTTTATGGACACCATCGAGGAACACCGAAGGCAGCTGGCGAAGGATCCGTCGCCGGCTGAGAGCGATCTTATCTATGCCTACCTCCAGGAGATGAAGGATCGCAGTGCTGGCGGCGAGAGCAGCAGTTTCAATGAGACGCAGCTGGTGATGACCATACTGGACTTCTTCATTGCAGGCTCCCAGACCACAAGCAATACGATCAACCTGGCCTTGATGGTGCTCGCTATGCGCTCGGATGTCCAGGAGAAGCTATTTAACCAAGTGACCGCCAGTGTGGCTGCTGCCAGCACGGATGCGTTTCCTCACTTGAGCCGTCGGGAATCCTTTGACTACATGGATGCCTTTATAATGGAGGTGCAGCGCTTTTTCCACATCACCCCCATTACGGGTCCACGGAGAGCCCTGTGGGCAACAAAGCTGGGTGGCTACGACATTCCAAAAAATACCACCATTCTTATTAGCCTTCGTTCTGTGCATCTCGATAAGGAGCATTGGAAGGATCCCCTGGAGTTCCGCCCAGAGAGGTTTATTGATTCAGCTGGCAAGTGCTTCAAGGACGAGTACTTCATGCCCTTTGGCATGGGCAGACGCCGTTGTCTGGGCGATGCTCTCGCCCGTGCCTGCATCTTCTCGTTCCTAGTGCGGATCGTGCAGCATTTTCGCATCGTCCTTCCGGCAGAAGAGTCTCCGTCAATGGTCCTCCTGCCTGGAATTACGCTTACTCCAAAACCATACAAGGTGCAGTTCGTCAAGCGCACCTAAGTTAATAACAGAAGTCGAAGGTGTCGGTATTATAGGTCGAATCAAGGAATGTATTTCGGTGTTTAGTAAATGACCGAGAGATGGTGCTGAATCCACTAGGATATTTCCAAGGATTCCGAAAATTATTTACACATGAGGATATAATAATCTTAGGATTGAATACTTGAGCTGAAAGATTCATTACAAACGAATTTCAGTCTGCAGAAGTAAGTTTAGAGAATCATAGCTGTGGTCTAGATGTTCTTTATTGATGTGTCCTCTAAATTAAATTACAATGTTTTATTATTTAAACAAATTTACATTCGGCGAATCGCATAACAAAATCAAATAAAGACGTTTCAAGTTATTCGTTATCATTATCGTAAATAACGTTGGTTTTGTCAGAATGTATAACACCATGTCAGGATCTTAACGTTTTTGGGCCTTATGAAAAATATTTACAAGCTGAGAAGAGCAAAAACATATACAATTGGTTGTGTATAACATATTAAATTAGTATATACGAACTAGATAAAAGCAATCTCGCCAGATGGAGAAAGCTTTGAGTAAGGTCATGTCTGGTCCTAGACCTCTTCGAAAACTATAGATTAAACCGCAGATACAATATGCAGGTGAGTGTGTGTAACAAAGAAACGAGCCGACCGAACGACCAACTTTACTTAAATGCTAGTAGTGACTGCACTTGGGCAATATCTGCCTTCTCCTGCGGCCTGTGTTTCGTGTCCGTGCTCTGGCCTTCATTTAAATCCCGTCGGCAATGATTAGCTTCGTGTTGTATGCTGTGTATTCAGGACTTGAGAGGGATTTGCATTTGAATAGTGTAGACGATGTCCTGCTCGGTAAGGTGCTAAAAGTTAAATCCGGTGCTGGGCATGTTGTCCGGATCGAATTCAAACTGTTGCGTGCCCGCCACGGGGGCCACGCGGCTATCCTCCTCTTCGTTGCCGAAGTACTGTTCGATAATGTAAAATGATTTGTGGTAGATGTCACGGTTTTCATGCGCCTGCAGATACTCAATCTTGTCCAGACCTAAGTTAACAGTAGCGATTTGAAAATTGAAATTTGACGGTATAAATAAATTAAATTACCTCCGCATTCCTCGATGATAATAGCATAAGGATTGGGTCGCGTCTGGAACTTTTCACCTGCTTTCAAAATGTTTTCTAGTGCATTCAGCGCCACCTGGACGATGTCCGAATCGACGACGGTGAGAAAATCGCACATGGGCGGCACACAGCCCACCTGCACCAGGTAGTTGATCTGTTCGGAGGTTCCGCTGCTGGTGGCGTTGGTAATTGCCCATGCGGCTTCTTTGCGAGTCTTAAATTCAGCCGTTTGCATGATAACCATCAGCTGCGGGAATATGTTGGCATTTATTATGGCCTGGATCTGCTCACGATTGCCGGCTGCGATATTAGAGATTGTCCAGCACGACTCCTTCTTTATTGTTTCCGCCGGGGAACGCAGCAGGTGGCTAATGCAGGGCAAAGCGTTGTACCCCAATATCACCTGGGTCTGCTGATCGTCGCCGGTAACAATATTGCCCACAGCCCTCAGAGCGGCTGTGCTCACGTTTTGCTGAGGATGTCTGCCAGGAAGTCAATAATTAATAATTAGAATTAAATTGTAATGATACAGCAGGACTACTTACAATAGCAGCTCAACTAGGCGACGGCAAACGCCCGCATTAATTACAGCCTGGATTTTGTCGTTGGGTCCATCTGACAGGTAGCTTATGGCCCAGCAAGTATCGCTTAGTACATCCGCATCAGTGTAGTCCAGTAACCGTGCCAGTATTGGCAGACCATGGACAATTTTGGCAAAGTCTGCGGGAGGGCTTTTGCCGCGGCACAAATTCGAAAGTGTCCACACCGCATTCCGTATCATGGTAATGCGCTCCGAGTTGCTCAATACGCTGGAAAAAGTCACACCTATTTTGCACAATCTTATCAATATAATTATAACTTACTGCAGGAGAGGCATAAGAATGCCGGAGCCGAGGAGATGGTCTCGACACATTGGTGAGTCACCGGCTATGTTTCCCATGGCCCACACAGCCTGTTCCTGGACATCATCATGGGGACTGGAGAGCAACTCTATAAATATGGGCACTGCCCCGGCCTCGATTACGATCTTGGTCTGCTGCGAGGTACCTGATGCAATATTCGTTAGCGTCCAGGCGGCCTCAAACTGCAGCGTGGCATTCGAGCTGTTACGCAAAAAGGAGACAAACTGCGGCACTATCCCCCTCTGGATGACCTCCTCAATGGGTGGATTGGGATCGCGGGACAGCAGTTTGCGGAACTTTTGAGTGGCCTCAAGCTGGTCGCTTTCACGTTCACTGTAGAGCATTTGAATCATCTCCTCGTTTATTACGGATGGCTGTGCCCCGGTTCCAGCAGCTGCCTCGTTTGGACCGCCAGGAAAATGCGTTGGTCCAGTGCTGCTGTCAGCCATGTGCATGTCGGCAGCCTGCGAAGGAAAGGACAGATAGTTTAGAGTGGGATTTCAAGGTAACATTGATTACACCTCACCTGCTGTTCGTTACTGACGTTGCTCTCCATTCCGGCTGATGTTTGGGATGTAGCCGGCTCCAGAACCACATTGCGTCGCTTAAAAAGCTGCTGTTCGCGTTTGGTCTTTCGCAATTGGATGCCCACCTCCTCGCGACGACGCCGCATCTCTGTAGAGTCCAAGGCGGCATTTTTATAAAGCTGTTTGTGGGTCGTAGACATGACGTCGTCTTGGCAATTCAAAAGCTTTAAATAGTCCAAAAATATTTGCTTGATAACAATAATTTTTTTTCATTTTAATTCGAAGAGTAACTAAGTTGACAAGTTTCAGACGGAAAGTGAATGTTTGTGCCCTGGCTTACCTCGATACTGTGTATTCAAAACAAAAGTGCTGCGTATAATCTAGAACATATGGAAATATAGAAAAGGTCGTCGTGGAATGAGAAATAGTTGAATTAAAGGTTTATAATCATGACTAGGTGTTCCCTTATGCTGTCATCCACTCCTACCAGGATTTTTACGCCCTGTAAACCACTGAACATTCGCTTAGCGCCTGATCTTGAGTTATTCTACATTTCCAAAAACATAAAAATTACGTTGTCTGGCCAACAATTGACATATAGTGCGTTAACATTTAATGAACTATTCAGTTTTCCTGGCAAAATGCACAATCACAACACTTTCACATTTCATTGTACGTGTATGTACATATGTGCACACACGGCTGCTTGGTGTGCGTGCGTATAGGTGCGGTATTAGGTCAGCATCAGCCATTCCATGATCTCTGGGTTCGCCCTTCGGAAAGCCACCACTACTCCTGGATAGAGGCTTCTACAGGTTCGTAATTAGAATACCTGTTCCGGAGAATCCTTTTCTCGTTTTAATCATGCAAAGAGACGGGAGACTTTACACGTTTTGAGAAACGGGGATGCCGGACTGTTAGAATGCAATGAACCCAGCTGATACGCTATCGATAGCGATATCAACAGAAGCCAGAATTCCAACCCAATTGCATTTAATTTAAACATGAAGGAAAATAAGAAAAAGTCACGCAAGACGGCCAATAAGTCCAAGGAATCGTCAGATGCCCAGAAAAAGAAGGTCATTGAACTGCTGCACGAGTACAACGACCTGAAGGATGCCACACAGCGCGTCCTCGAAGCCTTGTCGAACCTAAAATGCGTACCCGTCGGATCGGTTTATGCTACCTACAACCTTCCTCACAACGAATAAAATGAGGCCTTTTTATAATGTTATCTTTATGTACTTGTTGTGAACAACTTGTAATACAACTGAGTGCATATAAATGCCATATTGCTGGGCAGTTCCGTGAGGCTTCTGCTAATAAATCCACCTAAAACTAGTCATTACATTTGTTCGACCTATTGGCCAGCGTGAAAATATGATCGACATCGCTCATTAAAGGTCTTGTAGGAACGCTCCTTAATGATGTCCTCGACATTGAGCTCGGCCTGGAGAACACGCAGCTGGAATGCATTAATGGCACCAGTAAGAGTTAAGCCTTACATATGTATGTATTATGATTGGTTACCTTGCGCTGCTCCGCTCTAAACTGACTGTCCGTATCCACATCATCCGGCTGAGACTCCCGCTTTTGCCTTAGCTGCTTCAGATTACTAGCAGACATGGTTATGCAACTGCGTATGCTTTCTTGCTGCAAGAAGAAGCTATCTGTCAAGATTCCCGTGTGTTGCAGCTAAACAGGATTTACCCTAGCCAAGTGTGACTCCTGGAGTTTCGCGTACAGATCGCGACAGGTGCTTTCGCTGTTCACCTGACCCTTAAACGACTCCGTTGGCAGGGCATTTAGTGCATATATGATCTTGTCGTCCACATCTCGCATCTTCTTCAGCGCCTCCTGTTTGGGAACTTAAACACATTTAGTATGCCGGCTAACAACCCAATCTGACATATTCTAAGCCCCACCTGGAAGCCGAGGAAGTCCAAGCACAATGCCGCCATGAAAACAAGCTAGGAAAATATGAAAACACTTTAAAAAATAAAAAAAACAAAATGATATATGTAAAATTGCCGGCGAAATGTGCCTCTAATCGGGGTTGCCACCTTGGAGGAACAATCGATTAGCAAGTATCGAACAATTGGTGTGGATGATAAAGGCTAGTTGAACAAAACAAAATAGCAAAATAGTTCAGGATGCCGCTAAAATTCGATGATATTCACGAGAAAATTGAAACCGGCGTCTACAAATTGGCTGTTAATGACAAAAGCACGCGGAGCACTGTGTGGCGAGTGTATCGCAAGATTAAGAAGGACGATGGCAGCTTTCTAGAACACGTACTGTTCTGCATCGGTTGCAAGAGCATTATGTCCTTCACCCACAAATCGACAACGAACTTGAGGCGTCACCGGTGTCACCTGCAGTATCTCAAGAAACAGACATTCTACTGCTACAATTCTAAAGGCGAATCCGACGACAGAAAGAAGGAGCCGGATCAGGAGCAGCATGAGGAACAGGATGACCAGCAATCCATGTCGGATGAGTTGGAAACAAAACCCTCTCCCGCCGATGTTGCCGCCTTTGTGGCGGAAGTGGTCAGCGCTGGGGATTCGACCGCAGCTTCAGCTTCAGCCCGTATTCCGGACATTCCCGAGATCGCGCTCCCACTCGATGCAAGCGGGGTCGAGGAGTCCAATGTTTATGCACAAACCTGGTCCCTCGAATACCGCAAACTCAGCGAGGACCAGAAATTCTACGCCAAAAAAGCTATAGACGAAATCCTCGTCTTGGGCAGGCTGCGACGACTCACCCTGAATACGGTTCCGACGGCGGAGTAAAACAGTTAATCAGCATTAAGTAGGTCTTTAATTAAGCTAATATACCTCCCCTGTAAATATTGTATTTAAATTTAAATTTAAAGTCGTATCCCAAAGCCTGGGATATAATGTAATAAATTATTTGATAATTTGATACTTTATTATTTTCTTTGAATTTGTAATCAGATCTACATCTTTAAAAACGTACAAGTTTACGTTGTTGCCATTTTTTATAGGAACAATCGATACAGTTCTTGGATATCGATATATTTTTGTGAAGCTGAACGCAGCATTTATATTTTCTACTCTATTCAACTGAACTGAGTTCCAGTTGTAGTAAAAATGAGTAATCTGACAAGACGTGATAACGAGGCGAGGAATATTTCGGAGTCATATGGCGATGTGGACCAGATCAACACCTACAATACGCTGCCGGCACACAGCTTCGAGGAAGGGACTTCTTCGGCCGACGAACTGGGAGAAAGTGAAACCCAAGAGAATCTCTGTACTCCCAAGCCCACCGATCAGTCCAGAAAACGCAGTATTTCAACTCCCAGGCCGAGTTCAAGGCAGGAGCAGCACTATTCCATGAATGAACCTCAAAACGGCATCGGTATTAAATTAGCTATTGCCGGTGTTTTATTCGGTTTAATTGTTGTCTACGGGTACGGATCAAGCATTGTAGAGGAGAAGCAGTGTGCTTTCAAGGATCTCCGTACAAAATATCCCCTGCAGCAGGAACAAGTGTGGAAAGCCCTGCAAAAGGGCATCGAGGGGGTGATAAACAAAAAGGACAAGCACCCCAGTGTTTTCTTGTTCCTGCATCAGGATTCCAAGCTACGGAAACTTATTGAACAAATTGCCGTCGAGGCTTCAATGTGCTTTGGTAAGAAAAACGCATTCGTTTTATAATCTTTTACTGTAATCTACTTTGCACTCGTCATTTCAACTGGTGGTACCGGAAAGGTGATTTCCTTGGAAAAGGCGGACATGAAAGAATGCGGATTGGCGATTGAACAGTTCAAGGCAAAAATAAACGATGGGAAGGTTTTCTTAATAGTGGACCTCAACGAAGTGATAACCTTTCATTATTTTATTCAGCAATATTCTAAAAACCTTTTGATTACAGATTGCGCCGAATGGAGCCCGAGCTCTGCACACAATTTGCGATACATACAGCCCTCTTGTAAAAGATGCAGTCATCTTCCTTACTCTTCGAACATTCAACACAACCGCCGTAAACAACTCTGTCAAGCTAGCCACGGATACTCTGTACGATCTGTGGGATAAGGAGTTGAGGGACTACGAGCTGGATCCTTTAATTACTCGAGTTACCGATCAGGTGCTCCACTTGAGTAGCAAAAGTTAGACTAGAATTCATTATTGAAGTCTCAGTACCATTACTACGCCGAAAAATTGAGCTAACAAAACTTATAAAGCATTGAATTAAGAGAATTTATTTGGCTATTGATGAAAAATGATTTAATTAACTTTTTATATTGTTTTTGAATAAAGAAAATTAAAACGTTTAAACTGGCTGTTTCTGGCCTCTCCACACTTCTCCGACAAATGTCAGGAGACTACAGATCATGCCGAAGCACCAAAGCAGAATCAAACCAATAAAATTATCAATGCCCAGTTTGACTGGTCCTATATCTAGGTTTGTTTTCTCAGAGGCCACAATGCGATTTTGGCGATGTGCATTCATGTATTCGGCGGCGATCTTCCACTCCCAAAATTTGTCAAAGCCCGAGGAATGCCAAGCCAGAATGAAGTCGTTGTAGGCATTTAAGTGCGGCCACAGTCGAGGCACAAACGCCACCGTAAATGCAAAGTATATATCATCCACCATAAGCTTCAGGCGGTTCAAAGCATCATTTTCTATTAGCTCGGTGTTCCCCAAATGCCCAAACTGCAGACGCTCGACGACAAATCCCATTTGCTCCGTGTGCGAAAAGTCGGATATTAAATTGGCATCGTACACCCGGTAATGCTCCATTAAACCAAGAAGAACTGGCTGCGAAAAAGACATACACATAAGAATCTTAATAATTATACTAATACATATATTTTTGTAGTGCTTACGTCTGCCGACCGTTCGTCAATGGTGGTAATCCAGGCCTGTGAAGTCCCTGTCCAAATGAGCTTATGGTCGAAGAGACGTTGACGAGAGTCCGCCGCTTCCTCCAAGGTGGGCAAAGTCAGGATGGCCGCCAGACCGCCACTGTAGACTGTGGTCAATATAATGTCGATCATGTAACTGGCCACCAAGACGGTTCTTAGAGCATACGAGCTGGTTACATAGTTCGTGCTCTGATTTACAAAGAGTTTCAGCGTACTGATACAACCGAAGCGCAGACTACTGATCCACGAATTGCTTCCGGAACACGAGGAGTGTTCCCAGTAGCGGGTTACACAAAGGGCTAAGCTCTCGAGCAGCAGGCAGAGCATCACGCACATCCAGAGGACAAACTGGAATGGTCGGAGCAGGAGGGTCCAGCTAATTAAACGGTTCGGAGCTGGCACCAGACAGGTGACTCCAGAGCGTCCCAGAAAATGGGTCATGTCCATATACTCGTACGCCTCGTACCTAGAACACGATGCACTAGTTTAATTTACAAAATTTGGGAATAACATATTACATATCAAGAATATTACCACAAATACATGCCACCTACTCCGTAATCGTTTCGCCTATCGAGGATCATTCCAACAAGCCCATATCCCGAGCCATTTAAATAGATATCGCCCCAGTCGTAGGGTTCAGCTGTGGATTGCCTTAAAAATTAGCCTTAAATTAATGTATTCCATTACCTACATGTGTCCACCTGAATGGTGCAGTTATACAACTCGCAGAAAACGAGCATTAGTTGAATATCTGTTCCATCAATGGTTACTTCCGTGGTGTTCTTAAAACGATCATAATAAAATGGTGGCTTTTCCTAAGTCGTAGAACAGGAATTACTGCGATATATATACAAATTCTGGAAGTGGGTAACATTGTAAACTCACAAAATCCAATAGCATAAAAGGCTTGTAGTCGAAGATGCCTATGACTACTTCGCGTCCCTTGAGGTTTCGTACCTTGCTGGACATTGCACTCTTGGTTTTCCAAGTAACTTGCGCTTCCTTGGCATCGTACCGTTGAAGTAAATAGAAATCGACAGGCTCCGGGGTTTTGTTAAAGTTTCGCGGTCCGACAAATCGGTTAGTTTTAATTTCAAAATTGCTTGAGTTCAGGTATTGTGAGGTAACTATTAAGATATTAGGTTGATCTATAAATGTAAATTCAAGGCTGGTGTAATCGTTTTAATTCACTGCATTTATCCTACCTTGGAATATATATCCACACAGATAACTATCTTTTTTATTTACCAGCTCTTCCGTGTAAACAAATATAAAACGATTTCGCAGAGATCTCCAAATGGAGTAAATACTGGCATGATAGAAATGTCTTGCGAACTCGGGAATCTGCTCCTGAAATGCTATGAAGGTCTTAAATACAGAGATATAACGAATTACAAAATGCTGCAGTATTCAAAAATGCTTTAAGTCGAATTTACAAGTACTCGGATTTTCAAAAACAGCGAAATAACCAAAAAGTGTTTCCACTTAAAATTTATCGTCAGCTGCTCCGTTATGTTATCGATAGCAGATTCATTAAGAGATAAGCTTTAGCTGCCGCAAAAAAACGAAAATATAGTATTTTTAACTCAGAGTAAAGCAGTTGACCCAACAAATTGACCCAGGGTAATGGACAAACTGGGCTTCGGGTGCCCCTTCTCCTTCCTGGCCGGAAAGCCGCAGAATATGAGTGGTGGACCCGGTTTCCTGGACCTCAACTACGACTGCTACCTTGAGATATTTTCATATCTGAATGCGCTGGAGGATCAGCTAAACCTGGGCCGCACCCATCCACTATTTCGGGTTGTACTCACGGACATTTTGCGAACGCGCTACGAAAAAGTCAATGTGCGGCTTCTCAAAACTATTCCGGACTGGGAGTTCCTGCTGCAGCTGTGCGGTTCCGAAGTGTCCAGATGCGAAGTGCCCCATGGTCGCTGGGATGAACCGTTTACCTACCCGTTTTTGGTGCTCCTGGGACGACATTGCCCCAATCTGCGACAGGCAGTCATCATATTTATGCACGCCGTCACAGAGACGCCACCGGAAAGTGGGGACAGGGGCCACATCATGCAGCTCCTCCTCGAGCTTCCCAGTCTGACCAATCTTACACTGATCGATGCCAGATCTGCACAGCGTGAGTACTAAAACTATATTTGATACATATTTATTCATATCACTCCCTCTTTTATCGTTAAACTCTGGTTGACATCAAAAAATTGAATTTTGAAATAATAGTGTTACTTATTCACGGTAGCTCTTAGATTAAGGTTATTAACCTTCATTTTTCCTAACTAAAAATATATCTTAAATAATTTTGCAGTATATCAATTGCGGCACTTTAGTAAACTGGAAGCCTTGGACTTGGATGGAATCGACCCAAACCTCAGCAACGCCTCCTTCCAGCAAATGTTTGAAAATATGATTTGCCTGAGGCGACTGCTTCTGAATTTCGGGCGAGATCGCAGGAGATCTCACCTGCTCCCGCTGTTGGCAGATAAGTTCCCCCAATTGGATCACCTTACTCTCGAGAACTTTGATGTGAGCTTTTCGGAGTTAGGTGAATTTAAAGCCCTCCGATCGCTGCGCCTAATCTCCCGTTGGATAGCGGAAGTAAACGACGACTTTTATAGATCGGTGGTCAAGAGCACTGGTAACCTCCAACAGCTACAGTTCATATCCGTCCGCGTTAGAGGTGACCAAGTGCATTACATCCTGGCAATTAGTCGTCTCACTGCTCTGGACTGTGATAACTGGCCAGCCCAATCGGTGGCCCAGTTGGGTGAGTTAAAAGATCTCGAGTGCCTGGTCTTGGATTGCATCGACTCACCTACAAACCCAAGTCACCAACTTATGTTCCTAATAAAGAATTGCAATAAGCTAAGCCATCTGAGATTGGGAAAACGCTGGAAGATGCCTACCGAGGATGTACATATATTTTTGGACAAAGTGACAAATGCAGGAGCGGTTCGGAAAATTAAACTTCTGCTTACCCTTGACTTTATCACGACACCGGATACTCGGAAAGAGGTAATTAGCTTAATGGACATACTGTAATTCGATAATTGGATGGACTATAATTTGAAATCCTTCAGTTCACAGATCATTTCGGGGATCATAAACACTTGCAAGTGAGTTTTAATGGGGCCACCTGTCATCACTGCCAGCGTGACACCCACTCTAAGTGCGATACCATCTTCGACTAGCTATCTTTTAGCTTAAGACTCACCTCACAGTGCGACTTTTCGATTGCGACAGTCAGCCTAAGAGTCCAATCGTTGTAAGAGATTCCCTTCGCCTCAAACTCATCTGCTTTTATATTGTAATCATACACATCCTGATGGGAATGATTCGCCCATCGTTGCCAGTCCATGATTATTAATGGCAGTGGATAAACCGTATTCAGACGAAAATCAAACGCCGGATGCCACATAATACAAGTGACATGTGAATCCGCAAAGAATTGCTGAGCTAATTATACATTTTTTAAAACTTGGAGCATGCCTAAAAGGAGGAAAACCTACCAAAAAAACTAAGTACAGCACTCCAGTAATTAGGCTCTACCACCAAATTTCTCATTTCACAGATTTTTGCTCTTGAAGTGTTCCTAAATAATATGTAAAGAATGTAAATAATTTTCTGTGTGCTGTCTGCGTTTTACAATTTATTATTATTTATATACTGCGATTCTGAAGTTTTTGTGTAATATATTGATAACTCACCCTGTGATGCACCCGACTTACCAAACTACCGACGAAAATGACCGAAGAGTCGAAGAATATTTCATTTTATTAAGCAGAACAGCACGCCTTGCACTCGCTACTAATAGGTCTTTCATAAATTATGTATTTAACAAATTAGGCGCATGCACAACCAGTAAGACGCATTGTTAAAATATTTATTGTTATAACTACGTTTAACTTAACGGTAAATAATAAACAAATAAAATGTCCGTATTAAATAATTTTAAAATACAATCTATGCATAATGGGGCGTGGAAAATAGAAATTAAAAGTGTAATTATAAAGACCTAGAAAGTTGTAATTCCTTCATATGATTTGCTAAAAATCCACCCCACGTTCGTGGTTATATGGTTATAACCACCTATGGTTATATACTTTACTACTATTCAAGCCTTCACGCTGCCAATGCCGTTGCCCAGCGACTTCATCAGCTGGTAGCACTCCTTCAGCTTCCGCTTGTCGCCCACCTTTTCCAGGGTCTTGGCCGCCTCGGCTAACATGCCAGCACGTTCACCTGGAGAGCTGAGCAACGCAGGCGGAAGATACTTGCAGGCCACGTACATGGCAGACGCCCGTTCCCGCTCCCCGCCCACGAAGTTCTGGTGCCGGCGATCCTTGCTGCCGCAGAAGATGGACGAGTGGGCGTTTCGTGATCGCAGACTCCTGTCCAAAAGCTGTTGCGTTGGACACGGGGAGGCTCCAGCCATCAGGCGACAAACTGCCTCGTACAAATATATACGCGATTGGGCGTTCTGTAATAGGAGTTTATAAGATCCGGTTATGGAAAAAGCATATTGGAGAGGTAAGGATTTTGGCATGTACCGGAATATTCTCCACAATGCTGCGCAACGAATTCAAATCGGTCTGGAACTTCTCAAGCACTTCACCCGGCACTTGGTAGAAGCCATCATCCTCCATATTCATGTGCTCTAGCTCCCACAAAGTAGTCCTAGTTTCGAGAAGCCAATCGCAGGTGAGCAACTGGAAAAGCTGCAAAATAGGCCAACATAAATAATGATTAGTTAGTGTGCTTATAAAGCTTGTCGACTTTTGCCAGGAACACTCGGCGTTGTTTGTGAAATGCACAGAGCTTGCACTGAAGTTGTATTGCCTGAAGCAATTGGGACAGACAATGCGACTACAATGCACCTTCGTGTCATCTCTGGAGTGAGAGTCTGGTGGCACTCAGTCGCAATTGACTGATTGATCGGGGTGCACACATTCTTACCAGCTTTATGCCCTTCGCGTCGGTGATCCGGTTAACAGTTAAGCATTCTTGCAGCTGCACACTCGACTCATCGCAGAGGATGTTGACCAATTGCTTGAGGCTTTTTTCCAGTGCATTGCCATTGTTACTGCAAAGGCGTGCGATGATTAGTTTTTCATTGAATTTTTCATCGGATGTTCTAGTTTTACTCACTTTAATAAGATCATCTTAGCCCGTAGCACTGCATGCAGCGCCTTAGGCAGTTGATCGTTTTCGCCACACTTTTGCAGCTGCGTGGGCATTTGCTTGATGCTGCCGTACAATTGCTCGGCCAGCGTGTCCTCGCCAAGGAGCCAGTGCACTGCGATCTCCAAAACATTGGCCCACCACACCACATTTGTATCCCGCTCATCCTCATCAGCCCACAGAGTGTCTCTAAGAAGTGAAGTGTACTTAAGAACATTGCTGACGATTGTGCCGCTGTGCTGCTGTTGCTGCAACTGTTCCGTCTCTCCGCTGACAGAAGATGTAGGCACCCCTCCCGACTTATGGCCCGCTCCTACCAGACACTGAATGGCCTTAAACAGCAAATGCTCACGATATTGCTGCAAATTTCAAAATAACCAATTAGTTTTTAAACGTGTGATGACTTGTAATTCAGACCAACTAACCTTAATGACATGGGCAGCGGGATCACATGGATTCCTAAGACGTGTGAAAAATCCATCCTGCTCGCCGGAGTCGCTAAGATCGTACGCAAAGACGTGCGTGGCGCAGTAGCGATATCCATAGGCGGTGAATGCCCAACGTAGCTCCTGCGTTTGCTCGGTAGCCCTAGTGCGACCGCACTCTTGACGAGCCCTGCTCATGTAGTATCGGGCAAAGAGCTGTTGCAACCATTTGGGGGCACTGCGCTTCATTCGCAACGCTGTCATTACGTGGATGCAGATGGTCTCGCGCGGAGTCAGTAGATTGTGAGCCACTTCAGCCATGTTGCTGGCGAATAGTGCCATCATAATGCCGTTCATATCACCGCGGCCCCCGTTTCCAGTTAGTTGCAATTGATTCAGTCGGTTGAAGAGCAGGGCCAGTTCTCGTGCAGAGGCCAGCGCCTGTTTCCGGCCAGCGGCATTGCTGAACAGCCCACCGGTCCGCCGCGACAACACCCGGCCAAGCCAGAGCCGATGGAAGAGAAACCGAAGAAACTGCCACGTGGTCTGCAGGTAGCACTCCAATCGTGACGACGGCAGACTTAATCCAAACATATGCAAACAGTTGAGGTAACCGGCGTAGGCCTGAGCCGACTGCCCTTGAGCAAAGTGGGAGTCAGCCCGCTGCCTGTGCTGACAGTAGGCGTCCGTCTGCGCGTCCAGCTGCGGATCACCGTAAACCAGCAGTTTTACCATGCAGCCAAGCATCACTGTCAAGTTCAATAGCCATATCCAGGAGCTCTGCTGCCAGCCAGCAAATCCTTCACCTAAATCGAAAAAATCACATTAGCCATGTTTAATAATACAAGGATGCTGGGCTCACTACCATCCACGTCATAAGAGAGAATGCGTCTTTGACCGCTCATGTCGCCCATATCGTCATTACTGCCATAGTGCCCGCGCTGTAGGAAGGTCTTGAAGGGATTGACGGCCAGGATAGCAAACATAAACATGCAGAGTCCAAGTCGAGAATGGGTCGCCATACCGCGCATAGAACTAGACACTACTAGTGGTTCTTCATTGCTGCTACTGCTGCCACTGCTGCAGCTGGCCGTGGATCCACCATAGGGTGATGACGGCAATGAGATGTCCGAGTGCATGGGCGAGAGCGAAGGATCCGATACATCGCTGCGTGGCGGTGTCAGTCCGGCATCCGTGGAAAAGGTCTGCGAGCTCTCGCGGCGCTTCTTAGAGGCTCTTCCTGGCCGAGTGCCCAGCTGAAGTAGATCCTTAACCTTGGAGCCGTCGCGGGTCATGAGCTCCCTCTGCAGGCGCTGCAACTCTGCCTTCAGATCGTGATTCTGGCGTTGCAGATCCCGAATTTTGTCTATAGATTTCCGCAGTACTGCGGATTTGTTCAGCTTGGCCTGCTCTCCCACTACCAAGTTCTTCAGCTCATTAATCTTGTCATTGATTGAGGTGCGATAGCGCCGCTCAATGGCGTTGTGAGCCGAACGCTTCACTTCCTTTACTTTGGGTTGAACCCGGTTAATAGGTACCTTGCCCTGGACTTCCATAGCAGCAGGTGACGGAGCCAGTGGTGGCACTCGCACCTTGCTGGGCCGACTACTTGTGCTTGTCGGTGGTGGAGCTACAGGTGGAGATGGCATCGGACTGGCCACCGTGGGCTGCAAGAGCAAGTACATGGCTTCATCGGAGGTCATTCCGGCCTTAGAATTGTACGTAAGAAAGGGTTGCGGATAAGACTGCTGGGACAAAGGAGCAGGAGCTGCAGCAACAGGCTGCAAGACATTCACATTCTGGGACGCAGATTCCACCGGCGATGTGGGCGGGGACATGGACTGGTAGACAAAGCTACTGCCCAGAGATTTGGGATACACCGTCGCGTTCGGCGGCAGCCGCTGAGCGTCCATGTGATGTATGGTAGCCGTTGGCTGGGCGGCCTTTAAAAGCCCCGCCTGCTGTTGCTGGGGAAGATTGTAGTTGGGGGCTATGAGGGAATCCGGCTTGTAGACGAGCAACGGTGACTGTTGCTGCTGCTGCTGCTGCAGCTCCTCCTTGATGTGTACTGGCGAAGAGTGCTCGCTCTTCACGTGCGGTTGTTGCTCGCCGGACTGCGGTTGCTGCTCCACGGACTGCGTCTGCTGGGGATGTGTTTGAGGCTCGTCCAGCTGCAGCATGTTGTACATCTGCGTCGGCTCCAGGTCCATGTCGTTGAGGATGCTGTCCAGCATATCCGAGTGCAGCTCAGCGTCGAACGTGGCAAAGGCATCCTCTGACTTGAACAAATCCATGGACACGTCCAGGTGAGAATCTATGAAGTTCATCGGGTCCATTGCGAATTCTGCTTATGAAAGCGACAAGAACATTTCGAAATGAAATACTGGCGGGCCCACGTATGTATGCGAATATGTATGTATGTACATTTGAGAATTGTTTATTAAACTTCTATGCGGCGCAATAACAACAGTGGGACAAATATGTAATTGCCGGAAAAAAAACCAAATATTACATTTTTAGATTTGCATACAAATCGGTTTCAAATTTTTATAAGATATGTTTACAATCACATCAATTCTTTCAATAATCACTCTGTTGTAAAGTCTGCACTT